CACTGCAGTGACAGCTGCGGCCCCCACCCAGAAGAGCGGAGGTGCTGGGGCACAACCAGCCCCAGCAGGGATGAGGCTGGCTTGCCAGAGGCCTGACTATGCATCAGAGCAATTTCAGGAGTGTTGTAAAATGTTCCCTGCAGCTTCATCTATCCCAGAGCTATGTCCAGACAGGGATCTCCATACAGTATAGAGGCAGGAGCAGGAAAAGACCAAAAAAGAGAACATAAATATTCAGATATAGATAATCTGGAAAATGTATCAATCCCATTAGTGACTGTAGGATGAATCACAGAATCACAAAATTGATTAGGTTGGAAGAGACCTCTGGGATCATCAAGTCCAACCTTTGCCCTAACACCACCATGTCAGCTAGACCATGGCACTAAGTGCCACACCCAGTCTTTTCTCAAACACCTCCAGGGGTGGTGACTCCACCACCTCCCTGGGCAGCCCATTCCAATGCCTAATGACCTTTTCTGTGAATAAATGTCTCCTAATTTCTAGCCTGAACTTCCCCTGGAGCAGTTTGTGACTATAATATGCAGGAAATGAAACTGGGTACTTCTGCCTCATCATTTCTTGTTCATATCCCAATGATACACATACAGGTATATTTATCCTCTCCTGCAGACAGCCAGTCATGTGGACACCACTGTGGGAAGATGTATGGGAGGCAAGGTCAGTGACCTCTCTGTGCTGCGTGCCCCTGGGGCACAGGAGGCTGAGGGTGCTGTCTCTCCAAGGACTGCACCTTTGGCTCTCTCCTGCCATTGCTTTCCATCACTGAGTCCTCCCTTGCATTTGTTCAGGACTTTCTTTTCAGCATTCCTGTGCCCACAGACACTTTTTGCTGATTCCCTGCTAGGTTGCCTGCTATGAAAATAGTACTTGGTCACAGTTGCTGGTCTACTGGGGGAGCAAGAAACCTCTTTAATAAGCTATGGGAAAAGGGCCCTCTAGCACTCTGCCTTAAAAGTCTTGTTTTCAGTTTGGAAAGGAACTTGAACTAAAACCACCAAAAAGCTATCCAGAAAACTCTGACTGTACATTAAGTTTTGTGATTGTTCCCACAGTCCTGGTAATTCTCAACCGCAGCTCCGTACTAGAGGCTAGATACACATGGTGGGCATTTTTCCTCTTGTTGCAGGAATGTGAGCTTCTCTTTCAAGTCCAAAATCAAAGTATTGACAAACTGTAAGAGAGGACTGTCTAATTCCAAAGATTTTCCCAATACGGTTTTATTCTTCTCACAAATTTGTTTGTATTGTTTTCTTTTCCTCTCCTCCATACAGGAAATAAGCCTACGGCTCTCTCGCACTTTAATATGCTTGTCATGCCATCTGTGCAGAAACATTTCAGACTCTTTGTACTCAGCACTTCATTTCTCAGTCATGTCTTTTCAAGAATGGCAGCCTGCAGGATAACTTGAAAAATAACTTATTTCATATTGTAGCAATCCTGTATACTGGAGCTGTCTTGAACCTCTTCTGCTTTCTTCTGGTGCCACATCGTAATAGTGATCTTGTTTCTGTCTTCTTGCAGGTGTTTGGTTTGCTTGCAGGGCAGCAGGAACTATTCTACAGTTTGTAGCATGGGTGAGCAGATGGGGTGGGTGTGTGCAGCAAAACAACCCGTGGAATTTCTTAACAGACCCAGCGCTTGTGTGGTTACTTTCGATTTGCAGGGGACTGAAGTAAGATCATCCTTCTGGCCTTTTATTTCTATGTTCCTGTTCTTCTATTGTTGTTATTTTAAAATAACAGTTGTTCTGGTTTTTCTAGTGAGATAAGAAATATGAGTGTTTTGCAAAGTTTTGGCTTCCTGAAGAGGGAGCCTCCCCTTTGTAATCTGCTTTTCAAAATGTGCCAAGTCATTCCCTGGGCAAGTTTCTGTTTCATTTTCCACTTGCTTTTCTGATGCTGATTTTCCATAAAACAGGGCAGTTTTGGTTTTCAAAGTAATTCTGTTGCTTTAATTTTTCCCCCCCTACCTGAAGCTGAGAAAAGAGTTATTTTACACTGTTCATGACACAACCTTGTCATTTGGGAGAAAGAGGCTGGTCGTGCAAGTGCGCAAAGTGCAGAGCATAGAGTAAAGATACCGGAACTGTCTTTCAGCGAGCGGCTAAGGCGGCAGCAGTCATCCTCCTTATCAGCATGACACTCTGCATGGACTTTCCTTCTGAGAATGAAAGGTGAGAGCAAAAGGTGAAACAGTGCTTACCAAACCTGCTTGGTATGGTTTCCCTGTGCAGCCCTAGTTTGAACATGAGGCCAGAAGCAGGAGGCAATGGAAAGCTGGGTGTGTTACTGTGGGTCAGCAGAACTAAATCACTTTCAGTCCCTGGTCCAGGTACTTCAAGCTTCATCAGATACGCTGCACTGCTGACTGCAACATAGACACATATGCACTCCTTTGGAAAACCAACTGCACAATATAATCAATCCTCTTATTTGATGCACAGTGTTCGAGTTAAGAAAAAAAATCATGATGTATGCTAACCAGTAGAGTTAATGGTAATCTGGGTTCAGCCTTGCAGATGTCTCCTAAGGAGACTATGACTCATTGCTCAGGGACTTTCTTTTTTAACCATCCTCCTTGTACTGAGGTTGGGGAATTCCAGTGTGATGAAAGAAAAATTTTTCAATCTATTTCACTGCCACAAATTTATGAGGTTTGGTGCCTCCATTTTAAGATCTGCCTAATTCAGATCATTTATACTAACTGACCCATTGAAGCCCTGGGGTGGACAACCTTTTTTCTAGTGGTCAGATGCCTCCGAGAGAGAAAGCCAGAAGCCAAGAAAAGCCAAAGGTGAGGTCAAGCACATGCCAACATACCTTTAAGCTACATTTATGTCTTCCTGGGTGCGACATGGTACAGGGAGCAGCCTGTCTACTAGGGCTTGTGAGAGCGTGGAGCTTGCTTTCCTTCCTGTTGGCTGTGCTTCTACATAACTGCAGCCTGGGAGAAATGGCACAGCCTACACCGCTGCCGTTCTGCTTTTCAAAAGGCAGGCACTTTATTCTCCTCTATATGTGGAGCCTGGCCAAAACGTGCCAATGAGCAACACACTGTCACAGCATGTCAGATCTGTACACAGGCAGCACAGACACACATCATTTATACAATGTTATGCCTTAATCAGTCCACAGGTACACAAGTCTGGTGCATGGCCATTGAACATCCCAGCTACAGCAGCCTGGAAGTTTTCCTTTGAAAAGCAGCACAGTGTGGGGATTTTGGCAGTACAGCAGTGGCAAGATGATTGATTAGACACTTAGCAAATGCACAAAAGTTAGAGGCAAGAGGCTCCCAAGTAGGGTGGAAGGTTTTTCCGAGCGCTTAGCATCTATGTGGTGCTTGAGACCGGGGGAACTGCTGTACAACCTAAACTGGGTCTGGGCTTAGCATCAAAACATCCTCTGTGTCCTTCAGACCTTCAACGGGTCAAGTCTATGAAAGGCTTAAAGTTTTTGAAGCTAATCTAAGTCCTGCCTTGCCTTTCATCCTGCTTAATGCCATACACAGATTTCTAGCTGTTTTCAAGGGCTGTGCACTGCCCTCCCAGGCACCTCACTTCTGTTACTCTGAAGTGTCATTTTGGAGCAACCCCAGGCAGGGGGGTTGATCCCCAGCACCTGGCACCCTGCTGCCAGACCTGCCCTGCCCTTTCCACACCCCCGAGGCCAGGTGGCAGCAATTGGGCCCTATCCCACACACCGGGACAGCCTGGACGGCTGGTCTCCTCATGTTTTGGTTGAGTCTTGATACTGGCTGGAGATACTCTTTAGGGAACTGATGGTACAGCCAAAGAAGAAAGTCATCCTGCTTACTGCATGACCTGGAAAAATCAAACCTTTTCACTGAGGTCTCCTCTTCTGTTGAATGATTTTGTGAGACTTTGCATAAATGGGTGTGTGAGTGGGAAAGGCCTTGCTGCAAAGTGGCCAGCACTACTGGTTCTTTGAATTTAGGAGCTGAGTCCCCTGCGATGGAAGGAAGGTAAGGTGTTTTTTTTCAGGAGAGTGATCTCCCTTTTTGTCATTTACTAACCTGACTAAAAGAAAACGTAAAAATGACATCTATAGGTTGCACGATAAGAAGGAAAGACTGAAGTCATGCACTATGTGGATTTTCTTTTTAATGACAATGATGTTTTCAGTATCAGCTCCTGCATTAGAAAAGCTAGTGTTGCACACTTGCTTATGAAGACTTCATAGCTTCTGCAGGTTGCCTTCCAAAAATCATGGTTCTACTGTGCTGCTTCAGCTCCTGCTTCTTTGAAGGGTTTCAACATTAGAAAAGGCTTGCAATCGTTGCAGAGAAGAAAGGAAGTAATACTTTTTACTTAGCACTGGGAGCTTTTGCATAGAAAACTTCCACATATATACAGACATATAAATACACACACACATATACAAAACCGTACACACACATAGGTGCTTTTATACAAGGGAGAAATCCAATTTACAACAGAGTAGAACTTAATTACACAGCAACACCTATACTCAAAATTAATCAGGTGTATATTACATAACTTTGTTTTTATTCAAGTATTCTTCCTGGTACACTGCACAGACTCTTAATACCAGTGTTTTCACTCTGAAAAATGCAATATCCCACAATTTTAATGTAAGGAAAACATTGCATTGATTAAGTAATGCAGGACCATACATTTAGACTAAATCTTTTCTTCAAACAATGACTACTTCTTCTTTCTTCTTGTAGTGAATCCTATAGCTGGACTCTTATATTGTATCTTTTACTAAATACGCCATAAAACTTCTCCTCCCAGTTCTTAACAACCAAAAAAAAAAAAAAAGCTAAAACTTTTTTTAAAGGAAAGATACTGCTACAAAAATCATAATTATTCCTTGTTCATATTATAACTTCCTTGAATCAATCAGAAATGTCAATGAAAATGGAATTTAAAAGCTTTCTTATTATTAGAAAAATACTAATTCAGCCAGAAATAATTTTCAAGTGACTCTGTGCTATGTCTCTTCCAAACTACCAGAATAGGTGTTACTTAGCTCAGCACTATCATTGTAAGAATTTCTACCTTCCTGAGTGCAGGTCTTGCTTTGCTCAGTGTCATCATTATCAGACTGTCCCCCTTCCTGACAGCTGGAAACAGCTGCCTTCAGTTTTTCCTCAATTTTATCAGCGGCAGTGCACATTTTAAACTCTCTCAGGCTGTTTATTAGGGTTCCATAGGCTCCTTTTATGCCATGTCTTTGATACCAGACTTGAAACAGTTTAATCTTCTGTTCAGATGTATCACTAAAATAATCCCGAACAGTTTGATCTATGACAGGTTCTGGTACTTTGTGATTACGAACAAACGTCTTGACTTCTTGGAGTGTCATCTCCTCCACGATACCAGCAACATGGCTGCTCAGGTCAACATCTAGAAGCATAAAAGGAAATTAATGCTCTTGGCACTTGTATCTTACTGTTTTTTTATCACCTGTGCTCAGACTTGGTAATTTTCCTATCCAAAACAGATTAAGCTTAAGTTATACATGACTCAGTATGTTTTATATGTGATTTTTTTACAATATATAGCGGGTCTGCTTTTACATGTTCCTACCAAATGCTAGGTAATTCAAATATCTAGGGTTGCATCCATATTGCTTCCTACCACTTGAAATAGAATCACAGTTCCCTCTGTAACCTATTCTGTCCTTCTCTGTCATTGAAGTCTGGTCACCCCTTATGTACCTGTTTTGGTCAAAATAGTGTTGGGAAAGGTACTGGAACAGGACAGGTTCTTTCGTTGTGATACAGCCTTGGAGTTTATGTTCTTTTCCTATTGCGTGTTACTATTGTGGATTTGCCCTTGAACATAAGATAGGTTTGTGTTTCTGCGATCCCACTGCTGGGTGTGGGACTAGGCTATTTCCATCACTGTTCGTGATTCTAGAAATCCAGCTTGCTGCCTCCTAGTGTCTGTACCACACGCAGAACAGAAATTCACCTGTTGTCAATTAGTAATTGCTTCCTATACAACAGAAATGCCTCCTGAGGTAAAACTGTCATGATACCACTAAATGCCTTTATAAGCACAATATGAACTGGAATTTCTTTAATAAGTGTTCACTGCTGTGCTAGAATGACAGCTCTAGGCAGTGGCAAAGTCTACACAAAAATACCCTTTTTTTAGTGTAGGACTCACATGTCTGTATTTTTTTTTTCTTCTACTGAATTTTGAGAAATTACTTGTCTCTTACCTGTGTATATGAGAGGTACATTCTCCTGAAAAGAGAAGCGAGAGAGAAATGAGTAGAAATAAGTTTTGTAAAACACCAACCTTGTATAAGAGGATAAACACATTTCGTGACACTTCTGTAATTTTCTTTTAGTTTTCTCCATGATTTCCCTGTTTTATAAGCGAGGGAATCAGATCGCACAGACAGACCTCTTTTGACAAGGGTAAGCTTGGGGGATCACCTCACAATTGCTATTGCCTAAAGGTATGCATGGGGACAGGTACCCTTGGTCAGTGGAGTCCTGATGATTTATGAAGTTTTGATCTTCGTCATGTAATTTAGGAAGTATATCAACAAATCCTGAAGAAATAATACAGGGTTTCTCTTACTTCTCCTGAAAGAGTCCTCATGGTGAAATTTACTTCATAATGCCATAGAAGAGAGGTGTGCATATGCTTGGGGACTCCCAGTGCAATTTAAATGGAACAAAGTTCCTTGCATGAAGCTGAGTTTTTTGTGATCTAAGCACCAATACTTACATAAGAAGCCTCTGTTTTGGGAACTACTTCACCTAGATTCTCCTTGCCAGTAAGACCTTTCTGTTTTCTCTTGTCTGAAACAAAAAGCATTTTAAAAATCAAGGACAGAGAATATATCTCCTCTGGACTCCAAATTACATTTGAGTAAGCAGCTGAGTATCTTATCCAGAGTATGATGGGAATAAAGAATAGGGAATCACTTACACCAGAATATCGCTCCAGCTGGTAGTAGCAGTACTAACACAATTATCAAAGCAGTGGCCCATGATGGCATGGCTGTTTCTGTTGAAACATTGGAAACGTTACATGAAAGTCAAGTCAAGAAATGCAGTACAGCAACACGGTAAATTTTAAACAGGATTGCGTCAGATTATAAAAGCCTTTCTCTTGGCTCCAAGTGGCAGAAGCTACCTCCTTGTTAAAGTCTTGCTATCATGAGTCACCCCTGAAAAGGAGTAATAGCTCCGACATCTGCACAGTGATCACGGGAAAAGAGCAATCATGCTCCATAGGTCAGTACAGGGTCCAGTAGATATGATGCCCTTAGCTGTCAGGAATCACTATGGGCCATTGCGTAGAACAGTACAATTGCCTTAGGTTTTAGGTTTTAAAATGGTACCTTTCATTCCACACACAGTGTCTGAAGTCGAAGTACATTGTCTTTCAATTACGCCACTTTCACATCTGCAGAAAACATGAACAAAAATTATTATGGGATTTATTTTCTCTGTTTATAAACTCTATCAAGACAGAAATCAAAATCTTCTAACACTTTTTATCAACTAAATATTTCATATATCAAGATGTTGGAGTTTGGAATTTTATAGGCATGAAAATGGTATGGGAAGGTATGGGAGTGTATAATGTATATACTTTTCATTATATTTTTTGAAAAGTATATACAGACTTGGTGGATGCATGCAAGTTTTTCTGCGTGCCTTTGAAAAGCCTGCATGGATGCAAGTTAAGTTGAGTGAGCTGTCAGCTCAACAAGCTAAGTGCAAAGGAAAACTAGTATGTGCAAAGGAAAACTAGTATGTTTTTCCCTCAGGTTATACATTACCTTAGCCTCTGAATTGAAACTGGCTAGAAAAAAAGTAGTGACAACATACGATATTAACAATTTCGTATTTAATGATGAAGGCATAAACTTACGTGGTACATGGATTGCAATGACTACATGGTACAGTAGAATTGCAAAAATGGTTCTTTGCACAGGTGCATTCTGTGTTCTGTGCTGGAGTACAGTTCTTTGCCACCTCCAAACCTAAAATAAATGTCTTAAAGTTTGTTAGTTTGAAAAAGTGGGCCTTAAAAGCAGGCCTCTGCTCACAAGCTCTTGTCCTCAGACTTGCGTGCTTTTAGCTCTACCACTGCTGGCACCAGTGAGACTTAACTGTAAGAACAACATAGCTTTTATAAGGAACCCTGCTGCAGGTGTACTGGAAATATGGAGATGGCAAAGAGACCTCTGCTGCCCAAGAGCTCAAAACACTGACCACACGATAAAGTATTTGCTAGAAGAGGACTCATTTGGCACTGCCAGATGTTGTAAGCTTCATTTTCCCATTCATAAGTGTAAACCCAAAAAGAAACTCCAAAGATCGTGTAGCCCATTTCCCTACTTGATGTTAGAGACAGGTTCTTTACTCTCATTGGCAGACAAGTTCTACCTCTTCTTGAGGACCTCCAATGGTGAGGAATTCCTCTCTCTTTTTAGCTAACATATTCCCTGCCTAAGTATCAAAACAAGTGAATTAACTTTCTCCTATCCTCAGTGTATAGGATGAAGCTATCTCCATCTATGAAAAATTATTTCTGCATTAAAAATTAACTGTAAGTATCTACCTACTATGAGAGCTATTTTCATAGGCATATAGGAATAGAAGTAAATTTTTGAGTCATCATATTCAGTGCCCTGCTGTAATGCAAAACCATGTTATCTTTCAAAATTTGATTAAGCTTTACTGTGAAAAGAGTGCTGAAGCCATTCATGGAAATACCAAATATGAATGATCCTAAGAATGGTTCTTAAGGAACTGCAGTGGTAATTTTCCTTCTGCCTAATGTTTTCTACTGACTTATCTTCAACTACATTATTGTCCATGGGATAATGTGACTAGTCATCCCATTATCCTTTTCTCCCCTTCAGTTTAACTAATAGTTTCCTTTGTGGCACTGTACAAAATACTGAATTGTTTTGCACTACTCAACTTCATTACCCCTCCAAAAATGCTTATTATAGTAGCTAATGAGAGGAAAACTTTCTATGCATATGGAGGTGTTGCAGGAAGGGGAAAGCAGTAAAGATTGATATTCCAGCAGGTCATCTGAGTATAACCATATCGGAGTTAAAAGCTGTCTTTCTGCTCACCAAACTCAATTCTGGATAAGAGGAATGCAGAACTATCACGCCCTAAATCCAAGTATACCAGAATTACAGGACACCTTGTGGAACTGGTAGGAGATCAGTTTAATGGATTTAAAAAACCCACAACTCTATGATGAGTATTTATGCAACAGGTAGTGAATTTCCGGAACCTGGTGTTCCCCAGCAGATTCATGTGCAAAGGGCTCATAAATAGAAACTAAAATGACTAGGTAGGGATGGACCTTCTAACGTCCTTTCCCACAATTGTGGATGCTGGTAGAGCTTGCAGGGAACAGACGACAGAAAGCAGACAGGTTTGTGTTTTGGCTAAATATCATCTACTATCTCCATTGCTGAACACAGAATACTGGGGTAGGTGGACCACTGGCCTGACCCAGTAGGGCATAGTCTCATAATTTGACCCTACATCCCACACAGCATCTTGAAGGTATAAAAGACATCACTCTATCAGCTCCAGCAGTTTTAAATAATATTATTAACTGTCTGAAAGACTATGAAAGAGACCATTGGGAATTCTCCCATCCCTGCATCTTGCAACACCCCTCTTCTTTTAAATAGAGGGCAAAGAAGAGAGATAGATTTTCTTCCTTGACTCTAACCAGTTTGTATAGGGTCTGCTTTGCAAGGAGTGCTTTGGCTGAGCAAAGGCAGATATAAGGAGAAAAAATGGACCAACATAGCTTGTTCTTCCTCCTACTTTATGCTTGATGAAAGGGAACTGGAGAATAAACTTATGACTTTGTCATAAATTCCTTTATGTACTACCACTAAAACATTTTAATCTGTGTGCTACCCACTATTCGGGGATTGCAGAGACTTTTCAGTCAAATTCTGTATCAATAAAGTTATTGTTAGAGTTGCTACTTCTATAGACGTACCGAATATGCTATCACATGAAGAGCATCTCAAGCACTTGTCCGCATCATTGACATGATGTATGTACTCCTTTCCATTTTCACATGGAGCACAGTGTTTGCTAGTATCTGTTGGGCAGTCAATCTTTTTAACAAAACCTGTAGAAACAGAAAAACAAAAATTAAGATTCATAATACCTTTGGACAGAAGCCATCAGCTCTGGCCTATTTCAGACTCTTTTTAATCCCTAATACTTTGATTTACAAATATGGAAAGAATCCATATTCTTTACACATACATATATGCTATTCGGGAATACGTAAGATCTGATTATCCCCCCTCTTCCTCCAATTTAGGACTGAAGGAGAACACACTAAACAAAACTGCATGCAAAGTTAGAAAACCCATGAATATACGGAGCCTTGTAGGCAAAAGCCTGTGCTTGCACTTTTTAAACGTTTTGCAAAGATGCATAGCTAATGCTTGGCTCTTTTCTGACAAGCACGTTATGTGAGAACTACTATCTGTGCTAAGTTATTGGTGCACTCAGCTCAAGAAATACTTTTGAAGTGTCTGATGTCCTGTAATAGAGAAAGATACAGCTAGAATCAAGTATTGCATCCAGAAAACCACAGCATGCAGCTTAGCTATCCCAGCAGAAAGCAATTGTACATGTTGTAGTTTCTACCCTTAATGACTTTTTAACACAGTCTAATAATGATACTCACCACGTTCACATTTCTTGCAGCACTGAACACCTAAATTATATTCATCCAGGTCACACTTACTTTCCCTCTTAGCAATGATCCTCCTCATAATTAATTTATTGTACGCTATGTGTATAAGAGCTTCAGTATCATTTTTGCACCGTATTTCAATAATTAAGACAACCACCTAGGAGATAAGAACAGCAAGTTATACAAAACAATTATCAAGGACTGTAAGTGTGTTTTACTACTAGCACAGAGTTACATTGGTGCTGTTACTCTATTGCTAAACATACTGATATTCACCCCCTTATTAAAGTTGTTTATT